TCTCAGAGCGCCTAGTAATTATTGCTATATTCAGAAATGCTCAAAAGATTGGTGTTCCAGCAGCTTCTTCGACAGAGAGAATCACAACGAGAGCTCTTGAGTCTTCCATCCCAAGCGCGGGTCTTTGTTTTCAGTCCATGTTCTCGCAGCAGGGCACATCACCCAGGCATCTGTGTCTAGACGTGTCTGCTTTGTTCGCCGCCTTCCATGCAGGAAAGAGAAACCACATTGCAATTGATCTTTGTCTTGAAAGCGAATCGATCTCACTTCAGGTGTCAGATCCTCAAAGGGGAAGAGCAACAGAAATTTCGTGCACTTGCCTCAAACGTCTCCACGGAGAGCTTTCCCGCAGCAACTGGAGATGGCCTTTCAGATCTGAATATTACAGAGTAAATATTAGATAAAATTTCAATCTTCGTCTTTGGTCACCCTCGTTCTTTCTCCCCTTCGTTCTTGCTCATCTCCGTCCACGCGCACACACACACATCGCCCAATTCCACTTCGACCGCCAACGACCAACACCATGTCCCGCTCGCAAGCATCAGATCCCGCGGATGGGTTTCCTAATCTTACCGACCAAGCCCAGGTGAACTTCGTCTTCAAACTCAAACAATGGCTTGCCGACCCGAACGTTCCTGCAGACGCCAAGCTGGGCGTGACACCCCGACGCCACTTCTATCTGCGCTTTCTCTCTAAAGGCCGGCCGACTCCTCCTCCTCAATAGCTGCCGCCCTCATTGTCAACTCCACAAGGTATCGCGGCCGCCCTCCAAGCTCTCGACCGCCTGGCTGAGAACATTCTAGCCCATTGGTCACCTTTCGGCATCTCTGGAACGTCCACTCCGAACGCGCTCCGTGTTATCACAAGCCAGAAGATCACATTCCAAATGCAGATGCCAGGCAGCGGTGCTTGGGCTGTCGCCTACCCCGGCCGAGGGTCCTCCACATTTCTGGGCTTTGTCCACAAGTCTTCGGATATCGCATACGCCTTGTTCACATCTGCTCGCAGTCGAGCCCAACTTGTGACCCTCATTGTCGACATTGTAGGCCATTGGAACCGACTGGGCCAACCCCACCATTACCCCCACGGTCATCTCCCGCCGACCGCCCGACAACATGGCGATTACGTGGATACAATTTTTCAGAAGCTTCGGGACAACTTCCCAGTGGTTAGAATCGAACCTAACGCTGGCATTGGAGCATCAGAAGCTTTGACACTGCGCAGACGTTGGTGCACTCCGGGCAAGACTTGGTTCGATTTTCGCCCCGATCAGTCGTGCGAGATTCACGTCAACCAAGAGGCGAGGACTACCTTTGTATCTGTCATACCTTACCACCGATTTAACTTGATCTAGTACGTCGAGGCTGCAATGGCTGCTGGAATAGCTGCCTTGGACTCGTCCAACACGAGGGACGAAATATTGAAGGCAGAGAATAGCTGGGTGAATTACTTGTTCGTCATGAGCATTTCAGTGGCTCACGAGTATGTTCACTTACTCGTTGGCTCTCTCATGGAGGGCTCTAGACCTAGGGCCCCGCTCCGAGTACACTTCGACTTGGGTAACGAGAACGAGCCATACGACCCGACTCTGCTTACACAGGCCCATCACAATTGGAGGCTCAACCCTGATCTCAACAACATCCCCGCTGGCCTGGAGGATGTGCTCTGTGGCGAAGCCGGTTTCGCGTGGGAGGAGAGGGTCCTCGGTGGACAGGTCATTGGGTACTTTGACCAAGCTTTGCAGCGTACAGGTGCTCCTGCCAAGTTCTCGCCGGGAAATCCGGTTCTTGTCTAGAAGACAGTGAACGGTGATTTTTTTCGGTCGAAGAATCAAGCAGGATTACATCAAAGATTTTCTGAGATTCGGTAATATTTCTTTCTTCCGTGGTCGTTAAGCGCCTGTTTTTTAAAACATGTTGTTCGAGGGGAAAGTGTGTTGTCGTGCTCAAGTCACTGAGTGATATGTCCCGGTCAAAATGGACGGTACTCTCGAGGCATTCTATCGGGAGCCCGTATTCAGGACCATCAAAATGGCGTTTCATGACCAATCGTGCTTCAGAGAAGGTGATTGTTGGCTCGTTCCCCCCGGGTCCTCGAACAGCTGGTTTCCATGTGAGAGTTCTCACAGTCTCAGTCCATCGGAAAAAGTCCACGTCGTCTATACAATCCCTTCTCTCCCAATCCAGGCGTAGCTTCCGAGACTCCGCGATCATGTGGACCAAGTGGTCGCATATTGGGTGAGGTTGCGTCGACCAAAATTTGTTGTTGCGATCGAAGGGCTGAAGTCGTAGGCAACCGAAGCAAAGATAGTGTCTCTTAGCATCCTTTTCGAGGAGTAAAAGAAGTTTGACTGTATCTTCTTTTCCCATCGTAGGAAATTTGTGGTCGAGGCAAATTAAGGCGAAGAAACCCTTACAGGCCAGAGCGAGTGACATTCGGGAGTTGGCGACCAGTTGGTTCGCCACGATCAAGAGGATCTCGGGTGGAATGTCATACAGTCCTCGGGGTCTGCGTATCGGTAATTCCACATCGCGATTTTGATTCCTCTTACACGTCTTGCGATTTTTACCTCGACTGGCCTTCGTCATGCCGGCTACTGGTCGTACCTGTGGGATGTAGCCGGTATCTTCAGCGACGCGCACGAAGCATGTTGGTTATTTTTAAAGCTTTTACCGTTCTACCGAAGCCACGTAGCCCAGATTTGGATTTATGTTCCACAAGATAGACTCAGCTGGACATCCAGGTGATTAACAAAGCTCACGTGGCCCCTAATGGGCCGTGTAGCACGTTGTCAAGGTGGTTGACTTGACTGCTCTTAAATGAACTGATTTTCCGAGATCATGTACCCAATAAGCATTTCCGGCACGGTTTTAACTCTGTCACATTGAAGCCACGTTCTCCATTACGCCTCGATCTTTGCGCCGTGAAGCCTTTCTCTGGCTTTGTATGCATTATTATGGCGTCACGGCTACTGTTGCTCGCAATGCGCCATAACATGAATAATATCGCTGAACTCCTAGTGCTAAAATACCCGCACGTTCAAATGTTCTTTCGAGGGTGCTGCACAAGCTCGCGTTAAACCTTCTCAGCGCGAGACGGAGCCTTTGAAGCTTACTTAGATCATTTGTCCAATTGGTGTCTCGACAATAGTGATTTTGAATTTGTCACGCTTCAGCTAGCGGAATACGTTAGCGAGTGTGCTGCATATCGTTCACCCAGAAGAGCGCACCTGAACGGAATATCCTCCTGGGTAATTGGAATCGAGGTACTCTTTCAGCTGGCTAGAGCTGACTTGAGATGCGGAGACGAATGCGTTTCTGCTTCCGTCCTTGTTGCTTTGCCACTGGACCTTGGGGGTGGATCGCAATTGTCTCGACATTATGAATAAGTTTCAAGGTTCGAGGTATTGGTACGCCAGACGTTTGCGCCCCAGTTGCCTGCTCTTCCCAAGATATTTTAAGGCAACGGCGAGAAAAACAAAGCAACCTGCGGAAAAGACCGGGAGAAAACCATAGGAAAGTTGCGATTTGCCACCTTGCGTAGACAACAATCACGAGATAGTTCAAAAGGGAATAGGATTCAGCAAGCTTTTGAACATCACGTCGGATCTCACCGCCTCCTGTCTTAACTGCACATATCCAGGGCATGCAGGTCGCCGCTGGCCATGTTTACAAAATAGCGAAGTGTTATCAGTCAGCACCCTGATTGGACAGCAGTCGCTCTCGTTTGCGACCCATGCGGCCCAGACAGCTTTGCCGCTCGCCTTCATGCAAAGTGAGTTGGCTGGACCAGGATGATCATGCTACGATTACCTAGGGAGTCAAATATTGGCACAGCCTGGAATTAAAGGGTGCAACCATGAGCTCACTGTGTACCACCCACGACGCAGTTGCGCAGATAGCCTACTGGTCCGCCTGAGGGAGGTGCATACACTGCCACAAAGCTGCGCCAGGCTGGGCAACTTCGGGAACAGAGCGGGCGATGGACAACTCCTCCACCAGGACACATAGCCTTTGTAGATAAAATCCCCGTAGTTGGCAGCTAATGAAATTTCAAAGACTCTTCTTTGCCAAGCAAAATCATTTGGAGAAATCGTGAGGTCCAATCAGTAGCCAATCTCATAATATCACTTGTCGAAACGGCCACTGATCGTGAAGCAAGGCCGCCATGCAGTAATGACGCCAAACCAAAATCAAGAGGTAAAAGCTGAATTACGATTATGTAGGAATATTTTGCGTCAGCGAGCGCTGAGAATCGGCCTGCATGCTCTCACTTCTCGAGTCTCCACTCCCATGAACAATGGATGCTTGCAGTGTGGATTGAGGCACACATCCTCGCTTGCACGTGAAAAGACTGCTCTGCAGTCTCCAAGATCTGATGTGCCAGCCCAATCAAGTATCTGCCCTCTTTTTGGCGCATTCAATTGACCATTGGGTAGCTTCTGTATCCGGTCGTGCGGTTGCCTTGCCTATTCTGCCTGGCCTTATCAACCCTGCGCTCCACGCCTTAAGCCCATCATTGAGCAAAGTAACCATCGCAGTGGTAGGGTGAAAGACGAGGCTTTCCTAAAAAGGCCAAGTCGTAGTGGCAGAGAGTGATAGAATAGAATAATTCCAGCAAATCATGGATGCAGGAGCTACTCCCTCTTCCAGCGCCCACTGGGTAACGGGCGGGCTATTTCAACCTTTGATCGCCCTCTTCTCTAGCCATACAGTGGCCCTGCCCCGTTTCCACGTCTCCACGGAACCCTTTGACGTCGTTCGCTGCCTCATCCAACTCAATCGCTGTTGGCTCAACAACTCACCGATCCGCTCTGTCATTATTCGCATTTGCCGACATTACTGGTGCTAGTGTCAACTTCTTTGCAGCCTCGGCATAAAGCCAATTGTTACTGGCACCGATAGGCTCTTTCAAATGGCTGGCTAGCCTCACCTTTCATTAGCGTCAAGATGTCAGCAAGCTTAATGCATACCACAGCTACGGCAAGGAGACAGCCCATCATGTCTCCTGATACTTCCGAGGAATTTTCGGGGCTCATCAAATTAAAGTCGTCATCAAAGCTTATCCTGGACGACCCGGAGCGCGTTGAGAAAGTGCTTGACAGAGGAGAAGCATTTAGGTTGAAGAGGCAAAGACAACGGCAAGCGGTTCCTCGGGCGAACGGGTCTAACGGGCAGATGAATGAGGACTCCGATGATGAAGATATAGTCGAACAACTTGGCCTGCAGCTTGACGAGGCGAAGACCTCGAATGCCCTAGAGCCAGAGAAGCGATTCATACCGCAACCTCAGTTCGACAGAATCCTGACTTTCGATTCGGTTTGTAGGATTGTGTCTACTCTCCGATGTTTCAGAAAGGAGCGGAATAAGACGGAGCTTGCCAAGCAAATATGCTACGGAAATTCGGATGGATCGAACGGTCCTGCCGTGAAACTATTGGCGGTCCTAGTGGGTATTGAAAAGGTGGAGGACTTCGCCAAACACTTCAAGGATGGAGTCAGAGATAGCTGCTTGCCGCTTCAGCCAACCGGCGCCAGCAAAGACCAATTCCTCAAGTGTCGAAAACACGGAATGCACGGCACTATCAACAGTTATCTTCGTCCAAATATTCGCGAACGCTTTTCGCAGTGGTCTCATACATTGAACGCGCCGTTCATCAAATGGGAGCCGTCGTTGCATTCGCATTACGTTTTGGAAACCGGAGACATCATTCCTGTGGAGATCATCGAACAAGTCACACAAGATGACAGCTCAGAGACCACGCAAAAGGATGCTTCTTCTGGTGGAGCTAATACATACGGAGGTTTTAGCGAAGTCTATAAAGTCAAGATCCACGATGGTCATTGGGACTTTGGGGACCATGGAGTACGTTACGTGTTCCCGACTTTCCAGTTACTCAGCTAATCTTCGATATTGCCAGATCCGACACCCTCAAGAGTTCTTTGCCTTGAAAAAGCTTACGTCGCACAAGCGAAACAGTTTCGACTTGGAGCTGTCTTCCCTGTTATTCACGGGACAGAACTATAAGAAGAAGCATCTGATCCAGTTGTTAGCAACATTCGAGGTCGTGAACCCCGCTGCTGGAGGACTTACAACCTACTACCTTTTGTTCGACTGGGCTGAGGGCGATCTGAGCAAGTTCTGGCAAAGCAACGAAGGTCTCGTCGGGAAGAAAAGTCATTGTATTTGGATGGCTGAGCAGTTTCATGAGATCTCCGAAGCTCTACAGTGTGTTCACAACGATCGAGCCCCGACCATGCGGTATCTGGAAGATCGCGACTCAAATGAAGACCTTTATGGGAGACACGGTGATATTAAACCAGGTATGGCAAAGGACTGTTGGTAACGAGACATTCTCTAACACCTTTCAGGAAACTTTCTTTGGTTTCACTCCAGTAGCTTCCCGGGCCTCTTGGCATTATCGGACTTCGGCCTGGGAAGGCTGCATACCCAAGTATCCCGGTCCAAGCAAGACCCAAAGAACATTGAAAGATCAGCATCCTATCGTTGCCCTGAGTTCGACCTACCTTTTGGCCAAGTTTCCCCCAGATCCGACATCTTCAGTCTTGGCTGCGTCTTGTTGGAGTACGTCACCTGGTTCTTTCTTGGATTCGACGCTGTCGAAAACGTCTTCCCAGGTAAAAGACTATCGAACGATATCTACGGTTTCGAGTCCGATATCTTCTTCTCGGTTAAGGATAAACGGGCGCACATCAAGCCATCAGTTTTGTCCTGGATTCACGAGCTGCAACACCGCCCCGACTGTTCATGGTATCTCTGGGACCTGTTGGAATTGATCAAGAACGGGATGCTCGAGCCCAATTCAGATAATCGCATACGTGCCAACCAACTCACAAAGAGAATGCAAGAGTTACTGAAGGCTTGCCAGGCTGAAGAGGACTACTATCTTAAGTCACGATGGCTGAAGTAAAGAGTTGTATCTCAGTGGCTGGTTGAATCGGAAGTTCTGTTATTGAAACGATGAAACAATTATCGTCCTGCTTCCATCGAGGACAGCGAATGTCATGTCCGTTTCGGCACCAACGATACCTTTCCCAGTCTGGGCCCAGACATCCCCAACGTCGAATAATCAGTACGACATAACGCAGCATCGCTGGGCTCATATTCCATATCGCTGACCTATTCGTTATAGTGCTCCCTGGCTTCTTTTTCAAGCTTTTCCATTTCTCCCTGTTGAGTCGACGATTGTCAGTTGCTTGTGCATAGTGTACAGGGTAATTATGGCCCAGAAAGAGGAAGAACAGGAGGGATAGAGAGTGGGGGAAGATTTGCTCTTACCTGTCTGGGCGGTCTGGAGAGCATGAGGATGTATCGATTGTTAATAACCTGCGAGGTTTCATACGTTAGACTAAGGTAGACATCACTTAACCCTTTGGGATCTGATTTGGAGTTTATAATACCCTCACTTTGTAATTTTTCTCGCCGAACATCTTGTTCAGGGTGTCCTTCAGCTTCACCGGATCGTGGTACTTGGTTCGCATCGTCTCCCGATGCCAGTCTGTAGTTGGACACTCCTTTGAGGGAGGCTCCTTGGATGGAGGCTCCTTGGAAAGAGGCTTCTTGGAATCAGCCATGATGCATGGCATTCGCCGTCAGACGCTACTTCTCCTGTAATTTCGGATAATGTAACGTGCTTTTAGCAGCTGTTGACGGATTGCGCACTTTGGCTGCAGTGCTTCACTGCGTTTTTGAAGAGCGTGTCTGCGATTTTGCTGTGCAGTGATGTTCTTGGTACAAAAAAGAGGAAAAAGTCCGAATTGGAAGAGGGAGGGGCTCTGATGGAGGAAGGCAGGCTCAGCAGACCAAAGGCTCAAGAGTCGAATCGTATGGGTCGCACATGCGAGTGGTTTGTCTCGCGATTGGAGCTGTCTCTGCATGCTGCATGGTGCTATTCCCAAAGGCCGCCAGACAACGCATACATGGGCGCTGCCGGTTGCTCCACTACCACGCATGTCATGTCGAATGATGCGTCTCGCGAGCTGCAAGAAATCCCACGAGCGCCCAATCGGTTTTGGCACCGTCACGGCCTTCAAGCACAATTGCTTAGGAGGGCAGAGGGCGTTCTAGATAAGCTGCAGGCTTTCAGCGAGGCGGGAGGAGAGGCACCAAACTGGTTCGGAGAGGGGAATGTGCAGATAGCAGACTGTTTAAAGCGCAGCGATTACCTGCACTCCCGAGCGATCTCCTGGACTGCAGCGTCTCCCTTCAATTGAATAGTGCGCCGGCCCACTTTCACGTGTGTTAGAAATGGATCTTCCTCAGGAACCCAGGGAGTGGAGTGAATCCGATCTGAAGCTCTTCGGATTAGGAGAAAGAAAAGCCGTCGTTCTTAGAAGGCTTGATAGCGATGAGGTAGGTTTACAATTGAGCAATTGTCCTGACGCCAAAGGCGTAACTAATTAGAATTCACACACACACAGGAGACATCTAGAGAAGAACTAAGTACGAAGGAGGACTGGGATAACTGGTTCAGTCGTGTATGTTACTAGTGGTCACCATCATCTTGCGACTGTTGACTTACCGAATCCTAGGCCCCGGGAGTATCTCCATCATGGGACAAGTTTCTCCCTGGGATTTATGTGATGTAAGTCAAAAGACGCCCCGGCCATCGAGTTTTGAAGCTGAGTCTTGGGCCTAGTATGTGCAGTAGAGCGGGTGCTATCTTCGAAGAGGAAGGGCAAGCGCCGGCTAGTTATCTGCCGATGCCAAAGTCCACATGGAGCCGCATCACAAGGGAATTCCATGTCCACCGAGAAATCACCAGAACCATATTGAGAGACGTTGCCTGCTTTTCCTACCTGCCACATCACGACTCAGACTCTCATCGACTTAAACTAGGTAATTATTAAAGCCATTCGGAGCAAAACAGGCTTTGCTGAGTATGATCCATAGGTTTCACAGCACGGATGGCTACGACTTTACGCGACGATTTGGCGTTGTCGTCTACTTACATCCCGAGCACCGGCTCAACGTTTGCAGTGGTGTATGGCTGCACTGAGAAACAAATGGATGATATTGAAAAAAGGATCCGGAGGTCAAATGAGCAACGCAATCATCCCTTACTTATGTCAGGCATATTCGTCGAACTTGAGCGCAAGAGACTGCTCGCCGCTGTTGATCAGTTGGTGGATGACTTCACCCTTAAATCCGATCAGCTGGAGAGCAAACCATGGAACATTGATCCAAAAGCAGATGAAGACGGCCAGAAAACACAAAAGGACTACTTGAATGTGTGCCTGCGCAGTCGAAATCTGATTGATCACATCCAAGCTTCTAAACGTCAGCTTTCGAAGTTCCTAGATGAGATGGACGAGGTTGCCGACGAGCTTCGATCACTAGGTCCAGAGGCCAATCGGGCCGAGAGTCCTGCAATTCAAACGAAGCTGGAAAAGATCGGTCGGGATATGAGGAAACGTGTTCAGGATATCATCCGCGAATACGATGACAAGATTGACGAGTGCAACAAGGTCGTCTGCAATACGTCTCTCGCCATGCAAACGGTATGTTGGTTCCACTGAGACGGGCTCATCCCAGTTCTGTTAGCGCTGACCGCCAACAGGTATGGAATCACATGATGAGAAAAGACTCCTTCACAACCACGGAAATCTCTAAAGCAAATCGAGCCATGGCCTTTGATACTCGGCACGAGAGTGCGCAGATGAGGACAATCGCCATTCTCACCATGATATACCTACCGCTCTCGAGCGTGGCGGCGATCTTCTCGATGGACATGTTCAACTGGGAAGCCGGCGCAGGAGAGTCCATCGTGTCAAAGCACATCTGGCTATTCGCGGTGTTGACTGTGGGGCTTACTTTCCTTACTCTCGTCGCCTGGCGAGTCGGCACTCAACGCTCAAAGGACGTTACAAAGAAGGCAGACAGGTATTTCGCCGAACTTCAGAGACAGGGCAGCTTTGTCTAAGTGGGCTCGTGGGACGACTCTGTGCATCGAGATAGAGGATGTAATGGAATGGGGCATGCCTGAATCAACGACTTCGCAGCACCGGTCTGTTCACTAACACTTGCAACACCATCTAGTGTTTCTGTGTCTGCGCAACCATACCTATTTTTCGTGGACTTTGTGTAATCGCTTGGAGGTACGCTAGCAATTATGAAGGCAACAGCAATATCATCCCAGAAAATGACGACGACAATGACGGGCAGTGACGACACTAACAACGACGATACTAAGAACGATAGCAACAATAGCGACGGCAATAACGAAGACAACGACAGTTTAATGGAGTATACAGGAGCTTGTATTAAAAGTAGTCACTCTAATAACACCAAGTGCCCTGACTCCGCCTGCTCTTGCAAGATTCCTCCTGTCCAAGGCTTTCTCCTCCCTTCGGGACATGTAAGGTCAAAATCAGGCATCTTCCTTCTCAGCATCCAGAGGTTTACGCCCGTAAATTACATATCCATTCCAATAGGCGTGGATTTTGGGATTACTCAAATCCTTTCGAACCTGAGCGCACAGAATCATCGTTTCCTCCTTGGACCAATCCATCTCTCGAGTCATGAGAGCAAGAGACATGCCCTCAAGGCCAGGAAGAAGAGACGCCTGGGTCCACATGCCTATGTCTTTGAGCTTTGGGTCCTTGGGCCATGGCGACATGGGGAAGCGAATGCGCGTCTTCCGAACATCCTCAAAGCCAACCTTTCTCATAACGTCGTCGAAAGTCTCGGTGATGTTGGCTGGGCGTCCAATTTTGTCGGCAGCTTCGGTCAACATTTGACTCCACTTGAACAATGCAAGGTCCTCAGTCAGAGAACCGTCGTCGGAGGTAAGTGGCCAACGACTGTCCTGAATCTCAAGGTAGCCGCCGGGCTCAAGCGCGTCGTAGGCTTGCCTCATCATGGTTTCCCATCCCTCGGCTGTGAAGGACATGTTCATATTGCGGCAGAGGATAAAGTCAAACGGTTGGGACCAGGTCCACTCCTTGTCCACGTCGTCAACTTCGAATGCGCAGTTGGGTGGCACATAGGCCGGCTGGATTGGACTGAGGTCGACGCCGATGACATGGGCGTCGGGATACGCGTCCGCATAATCCATGGCCCAGGCACCGGTGCCGGTGCCAAGGTCAAGGACGCGTTTGGCACCGTCGTTCTTTGGGCAGGAACAGAAGCCGTCGTCAAATACGATTGCCCAGAGGTGGTTGATAATATCGAGACGGTCCTGCTCGCGGGCATCGTTAGGCAGGTAGTATTTCCCCTCGCTGAGGCGGTGGTAGGTACGGCCGTTCTCGCGGCGGTAGTCGAGGATGCTTGATCTCAGTGAGGCCTGTGACTCGGTGACCCGCGAGAAGCCGGCGACTGAAGAGGCATCATCGCTATCAGCAGGTTCGTCGGCTTCGATGTCGGCGGCGCCTGTTGCAGCGGCGGCGGCTGTGGCTTGCGCTGCCGTAATCGTGGTAACGGGAGTGGGCGAGGTTGCAGTGGGAGACGCAGTGGCAGCAGGCGCGGCAGCAGCCTCAGCGGCGCCTTGTTGCTGTTGATCGGTCATCTTGTTCTTTGAAGCTCGACAACGTATGAGTACCGAACCACCTTGGTCCTCGCCGAGCGCTGAAGAAACGTGCGTTTGTCGGGCTTTAAAGGGGAGGGCTGGACTACCCCTCTTCGCCGAGCCATTCTCGTCTGCTTCAAGTCTTCAACTGTTGGTTCCGTCTCCACTTTGAATCTGCAACATGGGGGTAACCGTACGTTCATTGCACCGTCTTACAGGGGTAGCTGCTTCCCTGGAGGCTTTTCAGGTCTCGCTTCTGGCACATGGTGGTGTCGATTGGTGGATCTGCAGCGGACCTTTTGCCATTCTGAAGAGCTTTCCCTTGACCTTTGCTGTCGTTCGCGGTTTGTAGTCCAATCCAGACCATTGAGCAAGCCACGCCAGAAGACTCCAATCGAAAGTGATTATCAAAGTACTTTTCTGACCTGATAAGAGGAAGGTGAGGACCCTTGTCTCACCAGTCCCCAGTGCAGTCTCGGACGTTGTCGGGATCTGGGAATAGCCTCACATGGAAGACCCTGAATCTGGTGCGGGAAAATGTGGAACCCAACGGTTCCCCGAATTGCGCAAAAATAGCAGCACAACACGTTAAGAACAGTGCTCAACGGGCTGAGCGTCTGTGGAGAACCTTGCCTTGTCGCTGCCCAACCCAAACGCCTCTTCAGCTTAGCGGATCGGTACAGTCAAGGCCGACCTCATTTCGGCCCTCAACGCTATTCTCATTTGCATTGAGCCTCCCTCGCGAAAGGCGGCAACCCTGTCAATCTCGTCAGTCTCGAGAGAAAGACAAAGACAAAAGACATATTCGCTGGAATGGATGGCCGAGGTGAGGTCACGAGCGACGCTTGTGCTGCACGGTCCAGGTGAACCGCTTCGCTGAGGTGCCCGCTGAAGAAACATGAAGAAAAAATAAAAAACGACAAGCATGCGACTGCGCGCCAAAAAAGGAGCTTGTCCCGCGCCAAAAACGTCGCGTGCTCTGTCCTTCCCGTACGAAACACCCAGCCGGACGATCATGTGCTTGGTGGGATATGAGACAATGACGATAAGAGAGCATTGAAATCTCTG